AAAACTCTTTTTTTGTCTGTTTAAAAAGGAAATAAGCCCAGAAGTTTCTCTCCTTGATTAGGTGAAAAAGGCATCTCATAGGCCTGGGGGACTTCACCTCAAACTTAAGGACAGGAACCAAAAAGTCCCACCTGAACAATTTACTAGAAAAAGGCATATATTCCTCTTAAATATGCTTCATACAAAGATATTTTTAGGCCTATCTGTGACAGTGTTCACAGGGGTTTTTAGATGAAAGAAGAAACAGAGATCTGACTCCATGTTCAGAAGGCTTGATTTATTATTTTATGATATCTATTACATTAAAACTATACTAAAAAAGTAGAAGAAAAAGTTTCATCAGAAGGCTGGCTAAGAATAGAAAGGAAAGAATGATAACAAAGGTTTGTGGCTCGGCTCTCTGTCCGAGCCAGCTGGGCTGTGATTGGCCATTAATTAGAAACAACTAACATGGGCCAATCCCAGATGCACCTGTTGCATCCCACAGCAGCAGATAATCATTGTTTGCATTTTGTTCCTGAGGCCTCCCAGCTTCTCAGGAGGAAAAATCCTAAAGAAAAGATTTTTCATGAAAAGATGTCTGTGACACACATCCACACCAACGTCTTCCTCTCTATTGTCTGCACACGCACATTTACTTGTCAGGCCAAAACAGTAACTGCAGCAGTGAGAAATGGATTTGTAAATAATTTTCAAAAATTAAAAAAAAAAAAAAATAAATTAACTGAGATAAAGTGTGCTGGCTTAGGAAGACCATGGATATTGGGAATGAGGAATTGTTCCCTGGCAGGGTGGGCAGGGCTGGGATGGAATTCCATCCCTGGGTCCCTGGCAGTGCCCAAGGCCAGGCTGGACACTGGGGACAGTGGGAGGTGTCCCTGCCATGGCAGGGAATGGATTGAGTTGATCTTTGAGGTCCCTTCCAACCCAAACCATTCCATGATTCCATGGTTCTAAATCCATCCCTCCATCCTTTCCAGGGCTCCCTTCCCCACCTGAGATATTTTTTCCATCCTCTTTGCTCAGACAGAGACAAAGTGATCTGACCTTCTGGGCAATTCTATTGAAGTGGGATTGATGGTTGTATTTACTGCTCTTTCTCCAAAAGTTTGGTCATTATTGATTAATATCAATAAAAGGATTTATAAAAATCCCAGTGGGGTCCAGCATTTGAAAAGCTCTGTCTGTGGGGTATGTGGGACATGGATAACTTCAGGCTTCAATATTCCATATAGACCAGATGGTATTTTCAGGAAAAAAAAAACCCAAAAACCCTGAACATTCTCCCTGGATCTGAATTTGTTTGGAAGTTGGGGTCAAACTGAGCAGATCATGTCAAACAAATGAAAATAAAGGGAACATCGTTGCAAAGGTGAACTTTGTTATTTTGGAGAATTTGAAGATAACATTCCCAAGCATTTTAGACATCAGTCATCCCTTGCTGGCTGCAGGGGGCAGGGAATTCAATTTCCTGCCTTGCTGTCACTCAGGAGCAGGCATCAGCTCCAGTTTGCTGCAGTGCCATAAGCAACACCCTTCTCCTCTGAGCACTGATTTTTAGGGGATTTATCAACTTTTGGCCTCAAATCCTAGTTTTCCCAGTTTTCTTCAGCTCAGGATCCAAACAGAGCCCTGAGCACCCTGGGACAGTGGAAGGTGTCCCTGCCCATGGCAGGGGGTGGATGAGATGATCTTTAAGGTTCCTTCCAACCAAACCAGTCTGGGATTAAGATCAATCTCTGCAAACAGAAAAATCCCCTGGATCACCTCAAACTTTAAATTTCCTCCAGAAGTGATGGATTTCCAGGAGCACCATCCCCTCCTTCCCCTGGGACAAACATCTGGGGCCCAGCCAGGAGGAGCCAGAGCAGCCCCATTCCCATTCCCATCCCGTTCCCGTTCCCGTTCCCGTTCCCGTTCCCATTCCCATTCCCTGTCCCCATTCCCCATCCCATTCCGTTCCCATTCCCATTCTCACTCCCATTCCCGTTCCCATTCCCATTCCCATTCCCATCCCCATTCCCATTCCCATTCCCATTCCCTGTCCCCATTCCTCATTCCCCATTCCCATTCTGTTCCCATTCCCATTCCCATTCCCATTCCCATTCCCTGTCCCCATTCCCCATTCTCATTCCCATTCCCAGCTGAAATCCCAGTCCAGCAGTGAGGCTGCATCAGTCTGTGCTCAGACCAGTTCAGGTTTCTTCTCAAATCTAATTTTAGACCTCCTCTGCTATTATTTATTCAACAATGTGAATGAGATATAGATTGCCTTCATTGATTGCCTTCTTTGGAATTTGCCCATTTTTATTGTTTTTGATATCTCACATCCACCTCATTCCTGCGCTGTGTCAAGCCTGGAAGAGGGAAAAAAAACCTAAATTGAATCAGACTGCTTTTAAAAAACTTGTTTTAACAACCATATTTACCCTTAATTCCATCATTTAGCCAGAGGCTGGAGCTCAGAGTTTCCTCTGTGCAGACCCAGTTGCAGCTGAGCTGTTGCAATCCACCCCATATGAATTTTAACAGGAATTAAAAAAATGTGGACTGGAATTCATCTTGGATTGTCCTCAGCAAATGCTGATGTTCCAGAGTTTGCTTTCATTTTTCTGCAAAACTTCTGTCCCCTTTGTATTTTGGGGGTTGCAGGGTATCATTAACTTGGCAGAAAAAGAAATGGGAATTTATATCCCATAAATTCCAGGCAATTCATCCATGTAGGGAATATCAATACTTCATTAGCCCAGCTTCAATAAAATCAGGAGGAGAACTGAGAGCTCTTTTCCTTGGCTGGGAGGGGTCTGGATCCAGAATCTCACACCCTCAGGGCCTCATTTTGCAACTTGCTGCAAGAAGGATCCTTCCAACCTCGATTCCAGGAATTCCAATCTGTGAAAAGATAAAGCTGTTCATAATTACTTGTGGTAATTAGTTTATTGAGACAGAAAGGTTTAATCATCGCTATTGGGTTGTGAGACTCACAATTTAGAAGGAAAATTTTCTATCGTGGTCCTCACAAAACTGCCACCAGATCCAATAGGAACATTTCAAAGAATGAAAAAAAAATTAAAGAATGGGAAGTACTCTTCAAAAAAGAAAAATAAAAAAGTTCTAGTATAAATTACTATTACAAAGTTGCTACTTTGACCATTTCTGTCTGATTTCAGGTATTTTGAGGCAGGAAACTCCACCTTGGGCTTCTATTTTGGGAAGTAGAGAAAGTTCATTTCCTTAGGGCAGGTCTTAAATGACAGGACCCTTCTCTTAGAAAGAAAATGGGCAGTTCACACTGCACAACATGAAATTGTGGAGATGAGAGACATCAAACCTTCAGATTAGAGATCAGAAACCTCAAATCTTAGAATGGTTTGGGTTGGAAAGTGTGAAAAATGCCAATCACTTGTTTTTAAAAGTTTAATAGTAATAAAATGGTTATAAAAATAGCAATATAATCAGAGTAATAGTAATTTGGACAATTAGGATTTAGGACAATACGAGTCAATAAGAACAAAGAGTTACAGACAGTCTGGATACCTCTTTCAGGGAAAAATAAGCCTGAAAAAGGCCCCACGTTAACAGAGGATTAACCCTTAAAAACAATAACCTGTTGCATATTCGTACACCTCATCCATGGTGCATAAATTCCATTCAAACACAGGATTCTGTCTGGGCAGTGTCAGCCCCTTTGAATCCTGAGGCATCTTCAGGGCTGAGCAAGGCAGGAAGAAGTTCATTTCTTCTGATAATGGGGCAATAAATTCTTTTTCTGTGAAAGATTCAGGTGTCCTGTGGCTGCTGTCTGGTGTGAGTCCTTTCTTTAGCATAGTTTCTATTTTAACATTATGTTACAACCTAAAACTATATTTAACACACTACTTAAGAAAATTAATACAGCATAACTTTCTAACAGAACACATATAATATTTATTTTAGTATTTGTGAGAAGCCAATCATAAAATAGGCATTTTTCACAGAAAGGTCCTTGAAGATCATCTGCCATGGGCAGGGACACCTTCCTTTATTCCAGCTTGCTCCAAGCCCTGTCCAAGCTGGCCTCAGCAGAGCAGGGGACAGGTAAATCCTGCTGCTACTCCCTGTCCTGCCCACTGCTCCATGGAGGATGTGTGCCAGTGAAATCCCTCCCAAATCTGGCCCACAGAGGATCTGAATCCTCATTGCTCAGTTTTTCCTTCAGGAAACCTCCCTCCTCCAAGGCTGAACCCAAGGTGGAAATGTTGCTTGTTCACTGTGCCAAAAGCACATCCCCACGAGCCACCAGCAGCAGTGTGAGGCCACAGGGGGATTTAAAGCACCTCTGATGCCCTGAATGGGGGAATTTTAATCAGGAAAACATCCTGTTAGTGCCTTGGTAATTCAGACTTCAGGGAAAGCTTTGTTAATAAAGATATTTCACCCTGCAGAGCTGCTGGAGGCAGCCAGGAACTCCCTAGATAATGCTGTTATCTCTGAGTTATCAGCCCCAGTTTGTGAGTGTGGGGAGCACAGAGGACAAGCCCCATTCCCGTGTGACCCCTGAGGTGACAGTTTGTCCCTGCTCAGCCGGTGGCTCCCCTGCCCTCTGAAGTGGTGACATGTGCAGGGTGGCAGAGGGGCCCCCCTGGAGCAGGGGGAGCTGAGGTTGGACCACAGAGATCTGATCAATCCCACTGGTTGTGCTTCCCAACTCCTCCTGCAGCTCCTCCAGGTGCTGCTGCCACCTTCAGCCATGGATGGAGGCCCTGGAGGCTCCAGAATTCCTGGAGAAGCCCTGATGTGAGGAGCAGTCTGACAAAACCAGCAGCAGCTCCAGCCAAACAGCACGGGTGGCCCAGAGAGGCTTCCAAACAAATGGAAATGTGGTTGTCATCCTTGGAAAAATTAAAATACGTTATTCTGCCCACTTTAAATGTGAGTCTGATGAGAAAGAGCACCTAAATACATCTGGGACTACTGGAAAAAAATCATGGAATCACAGGGTGGTTTGGGATGGAAGGGACATCAAAGCCCACCCAGTGCCACCCCTGCCATGGCAGGGACACCTCCCACTGTCCCAGGCTGCTCCAGCCCCTTGTCCCATCCCTCCATCTCCTCATGAATTGTCCCTCTCCAGCTTCCCTCTATCCCTTCATCTTGATATTGAAAGTTGCTGTAAGACCCTGACACAACCTTTTCTCCTCCATCATAAAATCCATTAAAAAATATCTGGAATCCTGTGGCCCATCTGACTTTCTCCATTCCCTGTGTAAAAGATAAGGATTTAAGTCCACACAGCTAATTAGCAAGATAAAACGATTTTCAACACAATTAATATTATTTTAATTAATAATTAAGTAATATTACAATGTTAATATATTAATATTAATATATTAATATAGTATAGTATAATATAATATAATATAGTATAGTACAATATAATATAATATAGTATAGTACAATATAATATAATATAATATAATATAATATAATATAAATTAATATAATATAAATTAATATAATATAAATTAATATAATATAAATCAATATATTACTATTATAATATTAATATAATTAATATTATTTTTGATATAGGGTGAGATAATAAAAAAAAGATTTCTTATATATTGGTCAAGATACAGGAAGATGTTGTGAGAAAAACACCTTCATTGTCTCAGGTTTTTTGGAAGTAAACTGTTGTGAAAATTTGGTTTTTACTCTGCTCCCAGCTTCAGGCTGAGTTCATTGCAGCATTAAAATAATGCTCTTCAACCTGAATTTCAAAGCAATTTTTTAAAATTCCAAAATTAATGCTAAATCCCAAATTCAGCAAAATTAAAGATTTTAATTTTGTAAAAGACAAGGATTTAGGTCCACACAGCTAATTAGCAAAATAAAACTACTTGCGACATAATTAATATTTTTTTGTCTTGATATAGGGTGAGATAATCAAACCAAAAAAGATTTATTATAATATTTGTCAACAAGATACAGGAAGATTTTGTAAGAAAAACACCTTCATTGTCTCAGGTTTTTTGGAGGTAAGATGTTATCAAAGTTTGGTTTTTACTCCACTCACAGCTTCAGGCTAAGGTCATTGCAGCATTAGAATAATACTCTTCAACCTGAATTTGAAATTTAAAATTCCCAAATTAATGCTGAATCCCAAATTCAGCAAAATTAATGCTGAAATGCTTTAAATTAATGTTTTAAAATTCCAAAATTAATTAATTAAACAGTTGTTTATGGAAAAAATATTAGGGAAGAACACAGGGCTGGTTTATTAAACCTTTTCCAGTTCTCCAAGTTCTTCATGTGCTAAGACAAGGTCTCCCAAAAAAAGGAATGTCACATTTTGGAATGGATTAGGAATTGGAATGACGCACTCAGGATCTTTGTCCTTCCTGGTCGTGTTCACCTCTGTGTTCATCAGGTCAAATTAAAAAAGAGACAAATCTGCCCCACATTCAGAAGCAGAACTCTCTGGAATTGAATTGGGTGTCAGAAATGCAAATTGGAAAAAATTATAAGGAAAACTTCAGTTGGAAAAATTATGAGGAAAGCTTCAATAAAAATTTTCCTTCAAAAATTATAAGGAAAACTTCAATAAACAGGAAAAATTATAAGGAAAATGTCAATAAGGAAACGACCACTTCCTGGTTGTGTTCACCTCTGTGTTCATCAGGTCAAATTAAAAAAGAGACAAATCTCCTCCACATTCAGATGCAGAACTCTGGAACTGAATTGGATATCAGAAATGCCAATTGGAAAAATTCTGAGGAGAGCTTCAACACATATTATTTCACACCATGGTGCAGATCCAACCTGTGGCTCAAGGGTTTGAGGAGTCACCCATTGCTGGAAGCTGGGCGGACACTCCTGCTGATGGGAACTCTTGTTTTCCTTGGAATCCATCACCAGTCCCTGCCACAAGCCAGGCAACACCAATCCTGCTCTTACTCAGATTTAATGACTCAGAATTTTTGCATTTTCCTCAAATGAAGTGCAATTTTCTGGAATTCATAAACCACGAGTTGCCTTCCCCTGCTTCGCAATCCTGTTTTTTCCTACAGGGCTGGGTTTCTGTTCTCCGTGAGGACATTGATGTGAGTGCGCCCAAATCTCCAGTCTGGCAAATCACCTCTTCCAGGACCACCTGCAGATTTCTTTCTGCTTTGCCAGTGTTAGAATTTTGCTTTTTAAAAATAATTTATGCCTATTCTGAGAATTTACTCTGCGAATTTTGGTGGTTCAGCACATCCCAGAGGAGCACCTCAGGATGTGCTGGGCCAGCAGAGTTACATCAGTTGCATCACATCCAGGAACTCCAGCAGTTTTCTGCCTCCTGTGGTGCTCTAAATTTGATATGTTTTTAAATAATTCAGGGCTTCTTTGTGCTCTGGCTCGGCCTCCAAGCTGCTGTAGTTCCATCAGGTTTAGTGGTGGCTCATCTGTGCCACTGAACAGGCAAATTTTGGGATCACCTCTGTGTCCAACCTGTTGTTTACTGAACGTTTTGCACTGTTTCTTCAACAACAAACAAGCAAACAAAAAAAAAACCCCCAAAAAACGAACAAAAAAAACCCCAACCAAAAACAAAGCCAAAAAAACCAAGCCAACATAACAAACAAAAAAAAAAAAAACCACCCCAAAAAAACCACAAAAAAACCCCAAAACCCCAAAACAAAACAAAAAAAACCAACCCTAAAAAAACAAACAAAAAAAAAAAACACAAAAAAACCAACTCAGTAGGGCCAAAATTTGTCATCCTCAGGAAGATTTTGGCTTCCAATGTTGGTGCAAAGGTTCCTCAGAATGTTCCAGGGCTGCCTCTACCTGCCAGGAAAGAAGGGAGGAGCGCATTCCCAAAAACTGCAGCTGTTCATCCCTCCCACGGCGAAACACAGAGCTGGAGGTGTCCGGGACAGAATTCCCAATAAAAGGCTGGAGAAGGAGCCAGGTATTTGAACCTTGAAAGAGGTTTTTTAACCAGCTGAAAGAGGAGCTTGTTTGTCTTATATATTTTTTTTAAAAGCGGTTTTCTGGTAGCGGCCGCTCCTGGGGTTTGCGCTTCCTTCCATTTCCACACCGCTCTGCCGTTCCCAGTCCCGCTCCTGTTGTGGGGCTTTGCTAAAACCCCAAACCAAGCCAAGGCTTGTGCGTTTTCCTGGCTCCTTGTGGGGATTCCAGCCAGCACTGCCCGTCCCGTCCATGTGGGTGGGTGGGAAGAAAGTGGAGCTCGGAAAGAACCGCGGCCAAGCGCTGCCAGGAACAGCCCGACCTCCAGCACTGGCAAATTCCACCTGGGACAGACGGACACAAGCGGCCAGGGAGGAGGAAAATCAGGAATTAGCAATGAAGCGTGGAGCAGACTGGCGGGAAGGAGCATGGACGTGGCTCCAAACGAGGAATTTTTGCGCAGGGAACGGCAGAGTTCAGCTTTATTGGGATGGTGCTGCCAAAAACATGAAATTAAATACACGAAAGGGGATCAGCAAAACTCCTCAAGCCAAAGGTTTTGGTTTTGCGTTACTCAAGACAATTTCTGCCCCTTGTTAAAACAGCATCCTCTGAGTCACGGAATGAAGGTTTAATTTGAGGGATTCTGCTGGAAATCCTCATCTCCAGGTCACTCTCTCTGTCTTTAAAGTATTTTCTGCCACATGGAAGAACTTCCAGAGGGGAACTCTCCCACCAAAGTGCCCTAGGCTGAGGTGGGCACATCTCCCCACCTCAGATAAAGCCTGGCCCTAACCAGAGGGACCAAGAGAAAATCTCACAGAGATATTTAGGCTGGAAAAGCCCTCCAAGATCATCCCTTAGCACCTTCAGCACCTCAGGAACACGTTGGAAAAACTCACTGAATTCCACATTCTAGTGGTAGACTAGAAAGAGCTGGATGAACTGAACTTGGGGCACCCATAGCTGGAATTTTGGCTGAGTCCCTGAAGAGCTCAAGAAATATGGAGAGAGACTTTAAAAAGGGTGGGGTGAGAGGACAAGGGGGGATGGCTTCAAACTGCCAGAGGGCAGGGCTGGATGGGATATTGGGAAAAAAATTCTTCCCTTTGAGGGTGGGCAGGGGCTGGGATGGAATTCCCAGAGCAGCTGGGGCTGCCCCTGGATCCCTGGCAGTGCCCAAGGCCGGGTTGGGCATTGGGGACAGTGGGAGGTGTCCCTGCCATGGCAGGGGGATGGAATGAGATGACCTTTGTTGTCCCTTCCAGCCCAGGCCATTCTGGAATTCCATGATTTTATGTCCTTTGGAGCACAGGTGTGGCTGTCACACGCACACTAAATATTTTTCTGGACTATTTTTCCATTCATTTCCATTTCCACTGCCCTCTCAGCAGCTGCAGGGAGCCAGATTTCTCCCAAGAACATCCCCAAGCTGCAGTGACCAGGGTGAAACTGCTGCTGCTCCTGCTTTCTTCCCGCTCATCATTCCAAGCAGGGGAGACAAAGAACCCCCTGTGCTGAGCAATTTAGGATTTTCCAGCAGGGCAGCCACCAGCTTTGCACAATCCAGGAGCTGAGAGCCAAGGAATCTGAGATCCATCTGGCTTTGCTCGGAACTTTCCAGAAGTGTAGCTCCTGAGTGTTCCTTGTGCTCCCAGAAATCAGGTGATGGTGATGAAAACACACGGATTTCACTCCAGGAGGCTTCCTTGGCTTTTGTGGGGATGTGGACTCAAGATAAATCCCAGGAATGTGCCTTTTCTCCCTGCCTCAGGCAAAGGTGATTGTAGGGTTGTATCACTCTCTCCCAGACTTATCATGGAAATGAATAAAACTTATGGAATGGAGAGGAGGTGATGGCATTTTCCTTGGAGTGGGATGAATATTTAGGAGAACCACCTTAGAGGAGGCTCCTCTGTTTTATTTGGGTTTTCCCCTGACGAAGGAAGGAATGATGAATTTGACTCTATGTTTTCAAAAGGTTAATTTATTGGTTTATGATACTATATTATATTAAAGAATGCTAAACTAAACTATACTAAAGAACACAGAAAGGATACTGACAGAAGGCTAAAAAGATAATAATGAAAACTGGTGACTCTCTCCAGAG